CGGCTGCGGCTCCTCTGCCGCGGCTGCCCCGCGCTTGCCTCGCCCCGCGGCCCCGCCGCCGCCGCCGCCCGCCTGCCTCCCTCCCTCCGCCGCCGCCTCTGCCACCGCTGCACTGCGCTCTGCCCGCCTCCCTCCCTTCCTCCCTCCCCTCCCCGCTCCCTCCTCCCCCGCGCGCTCCCCCTCGGCCCTCCCCAAACTCCGCACGGAAAGCGCCCCGCGGGACCCGGAGCGCGCCGTCCCGCCCGCGCCCTCCAGCACGCGCACACGCCGGTCGGCCGGGGGAGGGAGGCGGTCTGCAGCGTCTCCCCTGGTGCGGTCTACAGGTACCTCTGTCACCACCAGCCCCTTACTCCACCCCCATCCCCGCCGTTAACTTGGCCCTGGGAGGGACCCCCTCCTACCCTCCACCTTCCCAGCCCCCGTGGTCGGGATGTCCCAGACCTCCCCTGTGGTTGGGGTCATACAGTTTGGGGTGAATTGAGATATGGTGTGGGCCTGTGGGGAGACCTAGCTTAGGGGGAGGGGGCTGGCTGGACCAATCCTAGGGAGTTTAGCTGGAGGGTATTCAGACCTCGAGAAAGGACTGGGGTAGGGCAGGTGCACCTGTTGGGCCCTAGCCTCCAGCCTGTCAGGCCTAGGGCCTGGAGGAGAGCAGAAAGAGGCCCTGCCTGAGAAAGGCGAAAACCCCAGGCACACACAGAAAGCACCTCCTCAAAGCAGGCTTCCCCTCCTTGGCTCGGGCCCCAGGTCGCTGAAAAGCCTAGCTCCACCAGGAAGCTTGGCCACCTGACTCCAGCGCCTTGGTCTCCTCCATGCCATCAATTAATCATGCCCGCTTGCTTATTTATTTATTGGCTTTATAAAAAGCCAAATGCACTGCTCACAGGAAGAGAGAAGATGGGCTCCCATGGGGGTGGGGGGCAGGGAGGGCCTGACCACGGTGACACCACCCCCCCTTCCCCAGGCCTCTGCTTGGTGAATGTGGAGGCAGGGCTGGGGAGACCCTGGGCTCTGGATGTCTGCAGCACCTGCATTCAGAGAATGGCTGGGATGTTGCCACCACTCACAGAGCCAGAATTTACCATGGTCTGTGCTCTGCAACCCTAGGATGGGGCAAAGGATATTTAGTGTTGGGGGCTTAGGCAGAGATAGAAGAGAGGGGGTCTTGGAGGCCAGTGACCAGAAGGAAATCTGACAGGTGTGAGAGGAGGTATCTCCAGGCTCTTGGCTCACAGCACTCCATTCTCACGGCTCTCACTTGGCTTGGCAGGCAGCGTCTGTATCTCCTGCTACAGCCCTGTCCAGTCTCTAGGTTGCCCAGAGGGCATCTCCCCATGGATGCCCCCCCGAAGCCATATCTCCTCCCACCTTCCCCATCCCAGTGGGTGACTCTGCCACACCTCCAGATGGCTAGCTCCATATGTCCCCATCACCAAATCTTCACTCATGGGGCCTCTGCAGTCTCCCTGGAATCTGCTCTCTGGTCTCTGTTGAAGGACTCCCAGCACCTCTCTTCTGGATTCTCACAGCTGGCATCCTCTCTACCTCCATCCTGCTGCTGCACTAGCCTTCATGGAACCAGACATGCGACATGTCTGCTCCTGCTCTAAAACCTTCCATAGCTCCCAAGTGCCCTTCTAAACCTTTGCCACCTTAGTTCATAGTGTCCATCCTTGATACATGCTTAGCACTATATCATGTCTATATCTCTCTTCAGTTCCTTCCATGAAAATACCTTTTGCTTCTCTCAGTCAGTTTCTGCCCAGTCATGGTGTCAAAGCTTAGCATTAGTCAAGATCTCTTGTGTGAAACCTTCAGAAACCAGGAGGCAAGTTGAAAAGTCAAAAGGAAAGGGTGTGAAAAGCCACAAAACATGAGGCAACTCTGCAAAAGCGAGTGACATCACAAAAGTCCTAGTGACAAAACTCACCAGTTGTGTGACCTTGGGCAGGCCCTCAACCTCTCTGAGCCTGTTGGTATATCTGCTAAAAGGGTGACGAATTCCACAGTCTACTCCAGTATAAACACTCAACAAATGGTAGCTATAGTTACTCTTGAGCACCTATTGTGTGCTAAGGCTCTGGGATTTACAAGGGTGATTTGGTAGGGATTGGAGGGACAGCAAAGATTGTAAACTCAAATGCCTCTAAGGACCAGGCAATACTGATTGAGGTGGGCTGGTTCTGTCTTGTGGCTCTCTCTCCTGGAATTTACCAATAAGAAAGAGCAACAATGTATGTGAAGTGGCAAATAGCTAACAATGGCCGTTTGGGGATGCAATAAGGAGTGGTGGGGACTGTGGCACCTACCTATTTACCTGGGCATAGCCACTACTCCACTCCATCTGACTGTGGCCAAGCAGGGATATAAGCCCAGACTGCCAGTTTTCTGTTTGTTTTTGTTTTTGTTTTCAAGAGAAGCTGGACATCTGGATTTTTATGTGGACACACTTGATCTTTAAATATCATCAACTAATTTTTAAAAAATTGAAAACTTTGGGAGGACTGAACACAATATAGTTGTGGTAGGTTTTTGGCCGCAAAGCTGGCAGTTTATGACCTCTGGGTTAGCAGGAAGTAGATCAATGTTATTTACACACAGACATACACTCCCCCCTCTCCTCTCTCTGGCAGAATGTGGTCATGTCCACCTCAGAGGGTACAAAGGGTCATTAGGAATGGAGTGGAAGGAGCACCTCACTGCAGTGGGCATGATGGGAGGGGTCAAGTGAGTCACTGGGATTGGAACCATTGGGGAGGGCCTGGTCTGCCCCTACGGCACGTGGGAACTCAGACCGACCATCTGTCCTCGCTGAGCCTCAGTCTCCTTGGGCCGGGAGAGGGCGGGAATTACTCAGATGTGGTAGAGCTTGTGTGAGGTGATGAGCACGTGAGAAGTGAGGACACGGGAGGTTCCAACGACAACGCAGAGGAGCATCTGCTTGTGAGAGAGTTTCAGCAATCTGGACACCCGGGAGAAGTCCCACTCCACTAAAAATAGGGCTCTGACAGACTGAAAACTTGAAGACTTCTCAAGAGACGGAACTGGCAGCAAATAACGAGAGAAATGGCTGCTTCCCTCTGCCGGACAAGTAAGAACAGATGAGGTGACTGGCACTTGGCAAGGCAGTGAGCGTGTGTCATCTCTGAATTCCTAACAAGACCAGAAAGAAGCACGAGTCCTGGTTGGCCTGTTAGGGAGGCAGAGGCCAAAAACAGCCAAGAGCAGAACTGGGAATGACTATGGGATCCCAGGGCCCCGTGAAAATCCCTCAAAGGGGCTTTGGTGGATGGGATTAAAGCTGACTCCATTGTCCAATTCCGCATAGTGACCATGTGGTACTATTTTCGTCCCAAAGTTATTAAATGCATACGATAATCCTACTAAGCAAAAAGGAGACATCTACATAAACCAACGAGGGAGATGGTCCTCAGATGGAAACCACCTTTGAAACAACCTCGGAGCTAGATTTTGACCTCACGTACCTGGAGAACTTGTTACCAGAATCTGTAAAGAGATTCCTGGGGCTGACTCAAGTCTCCAGAGTCAGAATGCCCCCAAGGGGGGCGGGGGGCGGGGAGATATCACAGCAGGTCCCTTCTGTTAAAGGACTCTAAATGCAGCCACGAAAACCCAACCCCTCAAATACAAGGCAGGGCGGCACACTTGAGGCACAAAATGCTACCAGCGAAGATTTAACAGGGATTAGGGATTCCCTCTGGGAGACGTGGGGCATAGAGGAGAACATTCTACCCTATATATTTCAGGCTCTGTTAGAATCTTTTACGGAAACAAAGATCCCATCGTTTTGCTTGTGCTGTTTTAAAACTTAAGTAAGAAGGAAAAGCCACCAAGTGCCAAGGCAGCCTGGGGGACGGACAATGAATTCTCCAGGAAGCAAAGTGGGATTTGAGCTGGGGGCTGAAGCAAGAATAAAAATGGCAGAAAGAGTAGCCAAACTCTATTAAGTATGGGTTACTATTCTTAGCATTTCGGGTACACTGATTTCATACTCCCAACAGTTGTATAAGACAGGTGTTTGTTAGCAGATGGTATTAAAGCTCCACCCTGACCTCTACCTGGCAGGTGCACCCAGTGCCTAGCTCTGTGGGTGTTGGCTCTGCGCACCTACACCCTTCTGTGGAGGACGTCATCCTTGCCTGATGGGAATCACTAGGTGGCAACAACCTGTAGGGTGCAATTCACCCTCCAGGGGTCCCCCTGGGATCAGGCTGAGGGTAGACTTCTCTGGAGTCCTGCCTCCCCCCTTCCCCTACAGGTTTCTCTTGAGACTACTCCCTTAATATATTCCATGCACAAGAATGCCCATCTCAGACTCTGCTTCTGGGGAAGCAGACCCCAGCTCATTCTCTTATCCCCATTTTGTAGTGGAGGGAGGGAAGGCACAGATCAGACAAGACACTGACCTAGAGAGAGGAACAGTCAGGCAGTCAGACCCTTCTCCGCGCCCAGAAGGATTTCTCTAAGACGATGAGGGAGCAGGAGCAAAGGAGTGTGAGAAAGAGACCACAGAGCCAGAAAGGAACATGACCACACAGCCCTAGAAGGTCTTGGGTCCCCTGGTGAGGAG